GAAGCTCAGAAAAGACAATTATCCCACAGCGATCTGTATAAGCAAGAAACAACAGCAAAGATACAAAACTATGTTTGGGTTCTAGAGTCACCTGAAAATCACACAGCTCCTTATACAGGAGAAATGAAGGGCCCTGCAGCCCTGGAAGCTGGGGCACCCCTCAGCCACACTGTGGTGAGTGGGACAGTCTTCAAGAAGGGGCACAGTGTTCCTGCAGCAGCGTAGGGAGCCAAGACCCTCATTCCTAAGTCAGCGTGGCTCTCATTGCTCACAGGGAGTGGAGAGCACAGAGCAACTGACTTTTTGATTGGTTACCTGCTGCTGTCTTTCTGGGCTCTGCTCATCTGCCCCTCCAGTAGGACCCTTATGGGTCCTCCTGTTCTTATCAGCCCTTTGTCCAAGACTAGGAATGGACAATGGGGCTTCACATTCAGGATAAAAATTCAAGAATGCCTCCCTCTCTCAGGGAGCCAGAGCCATTAGGAGTGAAATTAGTTCTTCAGGAAGCTGTGCTTTCTATATCGTGTAGAGAAAACTGTGGCCAGGCAAGGGGAATCAGCAAACACAAGAGTCCCAAGTGTGTTCCAGACCTGGAGCTGCCACTCACTAGGTTTTGCCCTGTCCCTCCTGCTCCTGGGTCCCTCAACTCTTCTGTGATGATGACTGACCGATGCCCATCATCAGCATTTCAGCACCCAGAAACATAGAAGCTCTGAACCTGTGCTGGTTCTAGGTGGGCATCTGCATTTGCAATCAACTCAGTGGGGGTAGGGTTGGTGGAATCTGCAGTGTAGTCCCTTGGTTTCCCCATTGGAAACACCAGGAAACACTTTCAGGGTCCATTCAGAGTTCAGGGCATTTGGTGACACCCACAGCTGGAACTTCACATGGTGACTGACTTGGGAAAGCTTAAAGGGAATCTATGCCAGGCATGGTGGTGCACTCCTGTAATCCCAGCACTTTGGAGATTGAGGCAGGAGAATTACCATAAATTTGAAGCCAGCCTGAGCTACATAGTGAGTTCAAGTGAAAGGAAAATTAAAATGTTAAATAACGCCTACCAAATATGCCTCTAAAACCAGGAGACACATCTGGACAGGCCTGATAACAGAACATTTCTTCCTTCGTATAACCTGTCTTTACCACCTTTATATGATTGATGGCTGTGCAATGCAATTTAAAATGTAACAGCACATTTCTTTATTTGTAGAGCGCATTCTTTATATAAGTGATGGCCTTGCAATGTAACCTGAAATGTTTAAACCCCCTTAACAACCCAAGATGTCACCCCAGCCCACCAATCATAATGCACCAAGTCTGCCTTTGTACCTCCCTACTTGCTCTCCACATAAAAGCTCCAAGACCCCTTAGGATGGGGCTCTGACTCTGTGAGAGATCCTAGTCAAGTCCACCAGTGTAATAAACTGACTTGTAAGCCTTCTTGGTGCCATTTCTTCCCATGTTCATTCTGTTTTCCATAACATTTCTTGGTTCCCTGACTGGGAAGACCATGCTAACTGCTTAAGTCACCAGCTGAGGCCTGGTAGCTGAAGCAGGGACCTCCTCAGGCTCCTTGGCTGGAAGGCATGCCCTCCAGACCTTCTTTGAGTCCCCTTGGTGACCTGGACTGGAGGTGTCTGTTCAGTGCTAATGGTCCTCATCAGACATACAAGAGAGGGAAAGGACATGGTCAGATCAGGTCATCAGATAGGGTAAGATCCCTGGGGTGCCCCAGTCAGTCTTTCAGCACCTCTCATTAGTTAAGGCCACCTGGAGGGAAAAGGGTTTGGAATGTTTAATCTCAGTGTCTGAAGAATGACTGTGTTTGTAACAGACAGCAAAAGCAGTAGGCCATTTCATCTGTGCACCATGGTGAAAGGCCCCTCTGAGACCTCAGAGCTTGATTGGGCCCCAACTTGTGGTTCCATGGACATGTCTAATAAGCACAAAATGGGGAACCTGTCAATGCTTCTGTATAGTCCAGATGGCCCCAATGTTGCCCAGAGGCAAGCAGCCAGGCAGGCATCTGAATGGACTCTCTCTGAGGGGCACCCACTCTTTGTCTGTTGTGCTACTGTTCAAGGGTACACCACATACACTGTAGGGAGACAGAATGGGAGCAAGCCAAAGAAAACCCATGATCCTAGGCTGTATGCTGAAAAACTTCAAAAGAGGATTCCTTGATGACCACAGGGTAAAAATGAAACCTCAGAAGCTCCAAACCTCCTGTAAGATTGACTGGCCGGGCCAGATCTGTGCCTGGATCGGCCACCTAAAAGAGATCTCCATGTTGAGACCAACAGGCAAGTCTGGAAGGGTGTCACCAGCTTCCCTGACCAGTTCCCTTATACTGATTCTTTGCTAAATCTGTGTCAAAGCCTGCCACCTTGTACCTGTACCCTGCATAGCAAAAGGACCAAACAAATTTCAGAGGCTGCCTGAAACACTCTCAAGCCTGTTCTAAACAGAAGAAACTTTGTCTTTTCCTATCCAAAGACTCTAAATCCAATCTGCCTCCTCTTTACAATCATAGGCCCAAAGCCATCCAGCTGGCCTTGACACCTCCACTGCCAATCCAAGTGCCATTGCCACAGCCAATGCACTGCTGCTGCTGCCACCACTGCCAGGGCTGCTGCCATCATAGCCAAGGCTGTTGCCGCCACCCCCCGTCCTCCCAGGATCCACAGTGCTGCTGCCATCACCACTGTCAGAGCGCATCGCAAAACCCACATCCGATTTCATTTGCCCCAGCTGCGCCCTCTAGTGGCCCAGAGGTCTACATCTACTACAGCTTCTTGCCATTCCACACTTAACAGCTCCACTGTTAACAACTACTGCAGCACTTCCTGAGCCCCAGATTGATTCCTTATCAGGTGCTATCAACACGGTCAGAGACACTTACAGCCCCATCAGCCATTGCCTGTGCTCTGCCAAGTAACTCAAAGTTCCAGTTCATCTCCACCTGCTGCTTCGTGTCTACCCCAGAGCCCAGGGAGATGCACTGAACCAATCAACCTTGATGTTTCATCAGCCATTTAGCTCCACTGACCTCCTGGATTGGAAGCACCACAACCTGTCCTAGAATGAATGACCTCCTTACATCCCCAGGCAATGATTGACCTCCTTAAAGCTTCTTCCAGGCCTACTTGCCAACATGAGATGACTGTCAACAGCTCCTTCTGACTCCGTTTAGTACTAAAGACTGCTGCTGCATTCTAAAAGAGACCCAAGCCTGGCTAAGATCAAGAGCCCCACCACCATGGCCGATCCTGATGCTTGGTGCACACAGTCCTTTCTTGAGTGCATCCAAACTGGGACTGCAATACAACAGAAGACCATGAGGGCTTAGATAAATACATCACAGAGCTCCTTGCAAGACTCAAGGAAGAAGGCAAAAAGCCAATAAACATGTCCAAAGTAACCAAAGTCACTAAAGAACCCAATGAAAGTCCAGCCAAATTTTATGAGATTCTCACAAGCAACACTCCCAGCTCTTATGGAAATTCCCCGCCTCCACTGTAAGTTTCCTAAGGGCAGGGAAGGACCTCACCCATTTTGCTCACTGCTGGATCCTCAACACCTGCTGCAGGGTCTGGATAATTCTTACCTATCCATCAAAAACTCATCCAAACATCTTTCTGAGAAGCCCCATCTGATCCCTGGCTCTGCCAACCCAGGAACCAGCATGCACTTCTACCATGGCACTGACTGTGCACCCAGAATGATTTGTCCCTGTATCTATCTCACACTACTTTAGGGCTTCCTGGAGGACTTCATCTTTGTTGAACCTCTTTCCCCTATACCTGGAGTGGTGCCTGGCCTGGGGAACATTAAATGGGTGGGTGAATGAATGAGTGACTCTAAATTTGTTGAACCCAGATTTTCTCTCTTAAATGGAGAGCCCAGATGATTTCATCACCTGTCAGTTGTCTTTCTCCAACTGTAAGGCCCCAGCACTGCAGCGCCCTGGCCCACCAGCACCTTGTTTTGGCATCTCTCGAGCCTTTGACTGTTGCCCTGGCAATCAACACATCTAGCTGCACACAGTTCCTCTAGACCATTATGCAAACTGAGCCTCACACTTCAGGGCTTTCTATAGATTATGCAAAAACCAAAAGCCGTTTTTACTATCTCCTTCCTCTTTGACTCATGTGTTTTACTTGGGTCTTTCTCGTATCTGGAGGAAGGCAAAGATTTGTTTTCTAATTACTAAAAGTATTTAAAATCTATAAAGGGTATGAAGAATAACATGGTGAGGAGCACACTCACATACACACAGCTGAGGAAGCAAAGTGGGCCTCCTTTTAAGGAAGGACCAACACCATCTGAGGCCTTTGCAGTTATGTTCCTGCATTTTTAGGGAACAGAGCCTGGCATCCAAAAGTCCAGGCAGAAGGTTTCATCCTGAAATCTCTTCCAAAGAGAGTGGATCCTACCTTTCCCTCAGGCCTGGAAAGGCCTTGGACACAACCATTCCAAAACAAATTTTGACCCAAGCATGATGGTACACACCTATAAGCCCAGGACCAGGAGGCTGAGGCAGGATCACCATGATTCGCAGCCATTCTGTGTTATACAGTGAGTCCCAAGACAGCCTGAGCTATATAGTAGACTCTGTCCCCAAACAACAACAAATCCGATTTAGAGAATCTCTGGACTGGGGCTCCTTTAGTGGGCACAGAATCCAGTGCCCACTGGGTGCAGGAAGTGCCCTCCCAATCATCCCACCTTATGGGCTTCGTGAGAAACAGCAGTGAGGCCCATACTCCTTACAGCAGCAGCCTAGAAAAGATGAAGAAAAACAAAATCCAAAGAGGAAACATGAGCCTCTGGAACCTGTGTTCCACAGCCGCCTCTCTGAGGCCCTCTGGGTGGGGTGGCCCTGTGACATGAATCCGCTCAGTCCATCCGCCCTATTGTTTTTGTGGTCCAGACAGTGAAGTTGGAGCCTGAATATGAATAGGACATGATTCATAAACTTGAAGAATTCACAGGAAGCAGATGACTTGAATAATATAATAAATAATGATGTTAGAGTGTAACCAAAACTGCCATCCAAATGCACTTCCCGGTGAGGAAAAGGCCTGTGGTCCACACTTGGGGCTGCAGCAAGCTTCCTGGAGGAGGTGATATCTGCCCTGCATTGTGAGGTATTGCACCTGCATGGCATGATGGGTTCATAATGCTGCTGGGGGCTGCGGGTGACTCAGTCAGGAGCAAAAAGAGGGAGAAGGTGGTTCTGGGAGATGTGGCCAGAGCAGTGTCATAAAGGCCCTGTGTGTTAAACTGAGGAGTGGGAGCCCTCTGAGGCCAGAGGCAGCCCCTGGAGGACTTGAGTCAGGGGAGTGACCTGGGTAAATCCAGAAAGTCCCATGAAGCAGCACTTGGCAGTGATTCAGAAGGAAGAAGAAGGATGAGGTAGTGGCCGTGTGGGACCAAGTGAGAAGCCACAGGAGTCTGAACCAAGCACAGGGAGGGCTCCAGGAAGTTCCCAGTCTTCAAGTTTCAATGACTGGGAGCTGGCACGGGATTTGTTCACAGATTCCAGAGGAGACCACCTTTTCATGATACTTTGGGTGATGGCACAGATATTGACTTATAAGCGGAAAGGGTAAGACACTGTGGGATCCACAAGTGTTAAAGATATTAGGAGCAAAATTAAAAAAAAAGTCACGGAAAGGTAAAAACAAAAGCAAAACCTAGGGCAACCACACATCCCAGTTTTCTGAGGCAGTGCCCCTGTATGAGGTTGGAGGCCACATTTCACCTGAAGGGAGATGGCCTCTGAATTCCCGGAATGGAGGTCGTGAGTACCCATCTCAGAACCAGCATTATCAAATCCAGAATGGAGATGACCATGTCCCTCAACATCACCCATCAGCCTCGGCAACTTCCTCTCCATTACACTTGACTTAAATTTTAAATAATGATAACTAAGTTAATCCAGTTGAAAGGAGCAAATAGCTGTGTCACAAATATCAGTTGCCTATCTCCCTTTCCTGACTGACCTCCACCCCACACTGATTTTCAACTTGCATCAAATGATTCTTTTGACATTTACTTCTAATGTCTGAATAGCATGAGTATTGTGTAGAATAGTATGAGTATTGGTTTTTTTTTTTTTGTCTTTTTCCTTTTTATCAGTACCAGGGATCGAACTCATGACTGCCTGCTTGCAAGGCAGGCGCTTATGCCACTGAGCTAAATCCCCAGCCCCCGACATGAGTATTATTGATACTTCTAATTTTCTCCATGTCAGGCATTTACAAGCCATAGTCTTTTCAACATGGCAGACCATGGGTCAACTCCCTTTGCCCCACCCACATCTCAGCTATCCACATGTGCCCACTTTCCATTCCCCCCATCCTCCCAATAAAGCTGTATCAACCAAAATAATGACTTTATGATACAAACCTTTGGAGTCTGCATTACTATGATTGTGCCTATGTCACACCTTTCTAATGCTTCCTATTTATTTAGTTCTGTCGTTAGCACCCTTCGTTTTTCCCCGGGTGTGTAAACCTCCTCTTCATATTTTCAGCACAGTTCTGTCCTATGGAATAGATCTTCCCTGAAGTCTTCTGACCAGCTTCAGTCTGCACACATCGCTTCCCGTGCCTGCCACATTGTTCCCTGGCTGCTGGGACTTCCGTCTGGTATGGTGTTTCCCACTGGCACAGCTTTTGTACTGGAGTCCCTATTTACTCTGTCTTGCATCTTACTCTTTCTAGGTTTCTTCCCTCGCTCTGCTGGAGCATACCCTTTAGCAGCTTCCTAAAAGGGATGGTCAGGAGGTGCCTTTTTTTTTTAACTCCGCATGTCTGAAAATGGGCCCTTCCCTTATACTTCTTGATAGTTTAGGTATAGAATTCTAGGCAGGAAATACTTTTCCTTCAGAAGGTATTGTTCCACGGACTTTCAGATTCCAGGTTTGAGAACTCTGATTATATTTGTACCTTTGTTTTCAAAAAACTTTTTATGAATTGAGTTTTTCCCTCCTCTGAAAGCCTGTTGGATCTCCTCTCCGGTGGTGATGTGCAATTAAGTTCAAGTCGGGCTGAGGATTTAGCTCAGCGGCATAAGCACCTTCCTTGCAAGCAGGCGGTCGTGAGTTCGATCCCTGGTACCAACAAAAAAAAAAATTAAGTTCAAATCTATGGACATATATTGAGAACATGTGCTGTATATTTTCTCATTAAGAGCTCCATGCTATACAATATATTTACAAATCTGGAGGAAGTATGAGAAATAAAGCAAAAAGAATGTTGATGAGTATGTGATGTTAAACAAATAAATTATGTATATAAAGCTAGTAAGGGCATCATTACCAATTTCAAGTGTATTTTTTGGAGGAGAACAATCCAAGGTCTCAATTTGGATCATTTCATTGGACATTTAACCTTCTCTTTGCGCTCAACAAGCTTGGTACCTCCCACCAGTGCAGCTCCTGCACCACAGTTTGATTTAGGGCTTGAAGTTGCCATCAGCCACCAGGGGGCAGGCTTTGGCATCATGCTGCCGAGGGCTGAGAACAACACTTCAGTTCTATGCCAGAGGTTTCCAGGGATTCCGTGGGAATAAAACTAAGAACCAGGCCTGCTTTTCAGGGAGAAACCTTTAAACTGTATCAGTCAATTACCTGTAAAGTATAGCTAGAGAAACCTGTAGATAGAAAATACTAATACATATAGCATATAGTTAACTACTCCATAAATGTTTTTTCCCGTGAATGCATTCTATTTCTATATAACATTTACATAATACTGATATAGCTGCCATCCCCTGGTGGGGACCAGCCAAGAGCCAGCACTATCCTAGTTACTGCTAGAGTATCACTGTAATTATTACTTTTTAAAAACAAAGCATATGAATAAATTCTTCCTATTCTTTTTTTTTTTTTTTTTTTTTTTTTTTTGTCTTTTTCATTTTTATCGGTACCAGGGATCAAACTCACGACCGCCTGCTTGCAAGGAAGGTACTTATGCTGCTGAGCTAAATCCCCAGCCCCAATTCTTCCTATTCTTAAAAAAAAAGTGTATACATGTTATCTCGTTTAATTCTCACGGCACCCTTATGAGTAGGTAGGTCCAATCCTCGTTTGATTAGGGAGGTAAGTACCTTGGCCAACATTCCAAAGCTAATAATGGCAGAACCGAACTCCAAATCTGAGTAGACCCAAGCCATTGCTCACAATGGATCTGATCTGTGTCTACAAAAGCAGCTCCAAATATTGCTTCAATCCCAGGATAGGCCCTAGAGATTTGGCATCGGACCAAGTCCTCCTCCAGAAGAGTGGCATGGGAGGGACCCTGTGGAAGGGGAAGCCCTACTCTCTACGGCCTGTTCTGATGCTAACTGGCTGTGAATGTCTGAGGAACTTCCCCAAACCTTTCAGAACCTCAGGTTAGGAATATATTCTGATGCCTCTGGGGAAAAGGCCAGGATGATCTGGGGATGAAATAGAGGTTTAGGAAGGTCTTAAACAGAACAGAGGTTCTGTGCTTTGTGGAGATGAATGAGAACACTGGAGGAATTTCAAGAATATAAAATGTTAATTGTGCAAAAATTCTCAGATGAGCATGAGTTCTTCTTTCAAATGTTCCCCCCTACCTTTTTTTTTTTTTTTTTTTTTGAGACAGGGTCTCGCTTTGTAACAAGCTGACCTTGAACTCACTATGTAACTGAGACTGGCATTGAACTCAGCAATCCTCCTGCCTTAGCCTCCCAAATGCTATGAGTACAGACTTGTGCCACCATATCCCGCTAGGATCTTTAATTATAATGGAATCATTGGCCATGGATGGTGGTGCACACCTGTTATCCTGACACTCCAGAGGCTGAAGCAGGAGGACTGTGGTGAGTTTGACGCCAACCTGGATCACATAGAGTGGTCAAGCACAGCCTGAACTACACAGTAAGAATCTGTCACAAAATTTAAAAATAAAGTCCTATTTCTACCAAAAAGTGGGTACTGGGGCTGGAGATACAGCTCAGTGGCATAAGCACCTGCCTGGCAAGTGCAAGGTTCTAAGTTCCATCCCTGGCACACACACACACACAAAAAAAAAAAAAAAAAAAAAAAACAGGAAAAGGAAAACAAAAAGCAAGTACCTTCAGACACCAGTTGTGACCAAATTTGGCTGCATGTTAGGGTGTAATATGTACTGTTCCTGTCCACCCTTGGAGATTGTTTTGTTTTGTTTTGTATTGTTTTGTTTTAGGCAGGAGCTCACTATGTAGTTCAGGCTGGTCTTGATTGCATAGCGATACTCTTGCCTCAGCTTCCCTAGTGCTAGGTTACTGGTGTTCTGAGATTCTGTTCTGAGTCAAGGCTTGGCATCTGAAATGTTCAGTCCCTCCCCCACCACGAGTCCAATATGTACCCCAAGTTGGGCCCACTACCCTAAAGTGTTAACTTACTCACTAGGGCACTGGAACCCACTGGCCCTCAAACTTGGATGTGCAAACAAAATTATCACCTGGGATCTTGTTAAAATGCAACTTCTCATTCAGGAGGTCTGGGGTGGGCCTGGACTTCTCTTCTAACAAGCTCCCAGAGGATGCTGACGCTGCTGCCTACCAAATGCCGATTAAACAGCTGAATGAACGAGAGTTTGAATGAGTATAGACCAGGAGAAGTGGCTCTTTAGGTCAGTGGGAACCTTAAGTAAGAAGCCTCCTTACTTCTAAGAGCCTCAGTTATCTATACAGTGAGGTCATGAGAATGAGCCTAGTGGTAGAAGCTCAGAATCCACAAGGTTCTGGGTTAAAGCCCCAGGACTGCCCAACCCCCAAAAAGCAAGCACTAGGAACTACATCACAGAATTCTTGTGACACTTCAATGAGGTGCTGCCTTAAACACATGCAGCACAGTGCCACAATGCCAGCCGGCACTCACCTACCATCTGCCAGGCATTTTCCACGTGCTTTTCTGTACTAGCCAGGCTTCCCGCTGTGGAGTAGACACTGCTATGCTATCAGCCCTGCTCTATAAGCTCGGGTGCAGAGGTGGAAGTACCTTGATCTACAGTTACACACCTGGAGGTCGCTTACCTGGAGTTTGGACCCAAGGGACCATTCCTGGCCAGGGCTGAAAGGGATGAGAGCAAACCGCCACCCCTGCTCCGGAGGCCTGGCTTTCACGCCGGGACAGTTGAAGGTGCACCGTCTGCATGTGCTGACAGCGGCAGATGGCAGCCTGGCTCTACGAGGGTGCAAAGACCTCTTCCCAGAACAGGCACAGAGCCAGACCCTCGCGACAGACACACTGCACCGGCCGCTTCTTAGGTTCTCTCCTCACCTCACCGCCCTCGAGTCCCAACCTGGAAGCCAAATGAACCCATCAAGAAATTGCAGCGCCACTTGGAATTCTCCAAGATAAGCCCAGGTCCGCGGGGACAGCGGCCAGATGAGCGAGTGTTCCACATTTCCATTTAACTCAGGGGCGCAACCAGAAGAGAAACCCATAAACCTCTTTACACTGAGAACTCAGCCAGGTTGGGAGCCCGAGCAGAATCGGAACCGCCTCGGATTCTCCAGATCTCTGCGGGGACCCGGGTCCCCGCACGCGCTCCTGGGGCAGCTGCCGTGCCCAGGTCCCGCACCTCGCAGGGGCGCAGGGGATCGCTCTTCGCGGGGAGCCGATGAACCTAAAGGTCGGTGCCGGGCCCGCAGTTAACCTGGCGGTTTCCATGACGCCCAGGGCGTGGGGAGGAATGCACCCCGCAAACTGTGGCGAAACAGCTGCGCGGCCCGGCCGGCCGCGCTCGAGAAGGCGGGGGACACCGGGAGGCGGCCGCGGGCTGGGGAAGCCGGGCGGGACCGGGACGGACCGGGCGGGAGCGGGGTGGGGCGGGGGGCGGGGGCGGGGTGGTCACGTGCGCCCGGGGGCGAGGCCCCGAGCCCGCCCCTGCGGGAGCCGGCCGGTGAAGTAGCGGAGGAAAGGAGCGAAGTTTCTGCAGGACGGGAACTCCCGCCCAAGGCAGGAGCCACCGGGAGCGGGCCGGCCGGCCGGGACATCCGCGGAGGGGGGACCTCGAGGAAGAGTGCCGCAGGGAGCTCCGGCGGCTGCTTTGATGCAGCTTTGGGTCTCGGTTTCCGCTGGGACAGCGTTGCGCTCCGGGTCAAGTGCCCATCGCGCTAGGAGAGCAGCGCAAACCCCTTCATTCCTCCCGAGAGCGTAAGGTCCAGCGCTGCAGGAGCGGCAGGGGCCATGGTGAATGAAGGTCCCAGCCTGGAGAGGTGCGATGACACCTCGGCACAGAGCTTCGACGCGGTCCAGGGGGACCCCAGCGTCTCGGCCCAACCCAGCGTCTCGACCCAACCCAGCGTCTCGGCCCAACCCAGCGTCTCCGCACAACCCAGCAGCTCGGCTTACCCCGGTACCTCGGCCCAACCCAGTGGCTTGGTCCAACACAGTAGCTTGGGTCCAGAGGAGCTGGGCTCCATCAAGGTGAGCAAGCGGCGCTGGGCAGTGGTCCTGGTGTTTAGCTGCTACTCTATGTGCAACGCCTTCCAGTGGATCCAGTATGGCTCTATCAATAACATCTTCATGAACTTCTACGGGGTCAGTTCCTTGGCCATCGACTGGCTGTCCATGTGCTACATGCTCACCTACATCGTTCTGCTGCTACCTGTGGCCTGGCTGCTGGAGAAGTACGGTCTGCGCACCATCGCGCTCACCGGCTCTGCGCTCAACTGCCTGGGGGCCTGGGTGAAGCTGGGCAGCCTGAAGCCCCACCTCTTCCCTGTCACCATGCTGGGCCAGGTCATCTGCTCCGTGGCCCAGGTCTTCATCCTGGGCATGCCCTCTCGCATCGCTTCGGTCTGGTTCGGTGCAAACGAAGTTTCAACAGCCTGCTCCCTAGCCGTCTTTGGCAATCAGGTGGGTCAAGGAGTGGGTGGGTGTCGAAAGGATAAGGGTGTCCTATCCTGCAGGGTGGGACTGAGTGTGTTAGGTCGAAGCCAGCTGGGCCCACCTGTGTGAGAGCTGTGCTAATAACAGTCTTTATGACTACAGCTGGTTTTGTGGCTGCTGCGACCAATAGTGTGGCTGGGTGATTGTGACTGTCAGTGAAATTACAAGACTAGACTGGGGGCCAATAACAAGGGGCCTTTTCCTTCTTCCAGATTCCTCTACCCCTAGAATGCATTCTTCTAAAGTGTGCTCTGCTCTGATGATCTTCATGAGTACTTCTTTTTCTCTGACTGCAGCCCTTGGGCATCAGACTATTCTGCTCTCATAAGGTGTTTTAGGCTGGACCAAGCTGTCTTTCCTGGAATGTCATACCCCCGTGCTTCATGGATTTGCAGGGCAAGGCCTTGTGGTGCTTGGCACTGTTCTTACCTTCTTTTACACACAGTGGGAACAATGCGTTGTGCCAAACTCCTTCTGTGGGGTCTAGCGCCAAGGCCCACAGAATGAAATAGAAACCTGGCTCTGAGTTTCCAAGGAGGCCTCTGGTGGAAGGCATATCTCAATCATTTCTCTTTCCTTCTTTTTGGAAGGAAAGTTGCAGTCTTCCCATCTCCCCTCCAAGAAGATGGACCTTTTCTGAATTTGGTTGCTTTTCCCAAATGTTTGAAGCAAATACTTATGAGTTCGTCTTTAAAATAGAACCACACCCTGATGTGTTTTTAAATCTTGTTTTATTGTTTTTCTTCACTAAACTTGGACTTGGAAAAAAATTAAAAATAAAACAGACCCACAGCTTCGACTCGTGTCTTTCCCACATACGTGGATCTGCTGTGTGTTTAGCAAAATGACCTCTTTCTCAGTGGCCTATTTTCTCATAACTATGCATTTCATTTAGAAAGAGGAATTTCTTTGGGATTTTTTTCACTGGGGATAGAAAGTTTCCAAAATTTCTGTAAAGGCAAATTTCCATTCTGTTCTTCACTACTATCAAAGGAAACTTGAGCTCTGTCTCCTCCAGTTCATGAGTTCTGGCACTTGGTAACAACAAAGAATCAATGAAAGCAAACGGAAAGCCACCTTTAGCTCGTAAAGCAGCAGCAACGACAAAAATCTCTCACCTACCTTGTACCTAATGGGTCTGAATGTTTTGAAAACTGAATTAAGACCTGGAGATGAAACTAGGTGGATCTTTTGTTCAAGACAGTTTAAGAACAGCTGTTAAGATTGACGTCTATCAATCCCCTATCCTTTAAGGTGATGGTAGCACTTACTTGTAATCCTAGCACTTGGTTTGTTTTCTGGGTTTTTCTGGGAGAGATTATAGGTAAAAGCCATCATGCTTGGCTTAACTCCAGCACTTGGAAAGCTGATGCAGGATAATCGTTATGAGTTCGAGGCCAGCCTAGCCTATACAGTGAGTTCAAGGCCAGTCTGAATTATACAGAGAGACCTTGCCTGAGAAAATAAATAAAATAAAGAGACCTTGCCTCAAAAAATAAATAAAATAAAATAAAATTAGCCTGGCAGGGTAGATCTGCAGTATGGAGATTTCTATTTAGTTTGATCTGTTAGATTTAATCCTCTGCCCAGTGCAACATTAAATGAAAAGCCAAGGTTGTTTTTGCTTACTCACGGAGAGGCGAATTTGGTTTTTTTTTTGTTTTTTTTTTGTTTTTTTTATCAGTACTGGGGATCAAACTCATGACCGCCTGCTTGCAAGGTGATTATGCCCCATGAATTTGTTTGTTCCCCTGTGTTTCAACCTTTTGCTCACTCAGCACAGCTGAATGGGGAGAGGATGGATTTTAACAGAACACCCCGCGCTTTCCAGCTTAGTAAAACAATTTCACTGTGCCATTTGTACAGACTAGGAATTGAACTCAGGGCCTTCACACTGAGCTACATTTCAAATCTCTCTTTTTTTTTAATTTTTTACTTTTAAGATAAGTTTTCCCTAAGTTTCTCAGTTGTACGAGCTGGGCTCAAACTTGCAATCTTCCTGCCTCAGCCTCCCAGAGTACTGAGATTACAGGCATGTGCCACCATGCCTGGCTTATATCAGATATTTTGGAAACAATAGTGCGTGGCCACAATGATGAATAACAAAAGTGGTGTCTGTCCAAGACTGAATAGTTGCTGGGCAGACATCTCGGTAGAAATACTTTTTTGTATCGTGTGGGGCAGGCCTTTGTAACGTTGTGGTCTTGCAGAGTCCTTTGTGATAGTTTTTATTAGGCAATCGTGTGTAAGAATCTGTCCTTCACAATCTCCTGGCTCTATTTGCTTTTGTTGTTCAGGTCACTAGGAATGATTCCAGTTTTCATTCTAACTACTTTTATATTTCTTTCAGAGCTCTAATTCAGACTTCATGCTTCTTCTGTATTCTACATTTGTATCAGCCTCTGCTTGAATGAAATCCAACATTCATTCATTCATTTAATAATCATTTGCCTAGCATGTACCTTTTCCCTGGGACTGTATTGTGGCTATAAAGTTTTTATTTTTTTCCAGATACCAGGAGTCAAGCTCACACTTGCCAGGTTGGCGCTGTGCCACTGAGCTGTATCTCTAGCCCTAGGGCTAGGAAGTTAATCTCAGTCTTCACAGAATTTCTCTACCAGATTATAAAGTTGCACCAGGCACCAAGGTTTAAATAACGATAACAACAGATTATAATACACAAAATTTATTTTCAGTTTTCTTTGAAGTTCTTTTTAACATTTTCTTTGCTGAATTGCTGAAGGAAAGGATGAAGGGAGAAGAAAATAATGTTTATTAAATGCCTGTAATGAGCTGAGCATAGTGGTGCATGCCTGTGATCCCAGCACTTGAGAGGCTGAGGCAAGAGGATCCTTGCAAATTTGAGACCAGCCTGGGCTACAAACTGAGCTCAAGGCCAGCCTGAAGTGCATAGTGAGACCCTGTCTCAAAAAGACAAAAAAAAAAAAAAAAAACGTAATGAATACTCATGATTCATTCCACAACCCAAAGATATTTATATAAAAATGATTATAATACTGTAGTATAATTAGAATAAAGTACAAAATATAAAGAAAAAAATCACCTGTAATCAGCAAGATGCTTTTTTCCTCATTATTTGATAATCCTTTCAACATCTCTGGGAAGTGTGTAAAGTTGTCCCCATTATTACATGTAATGAAATTTAGACCCAGGTAAATGGAGCAAGCTTATCCTGAGTCCTGAAGTTACTGAGAGGTCAAATACAGATGTGAACCTAGCACTACCTCCAAAACCCATGTCAATCAGTCAATGTAAAGCAAATGCATGAAAAAAGCCAAGTGTCTGGGGGTGGGACACAGTGGTAGAGTGCTTGCTGAGTATGTTCTAGACTCTGGGTTTGACCTCTAGCTCTTCAAAACTAAATAATAAATACAGCTTGGCACGATGGTACATGCCTGTAATTCCAACACTCAGGAAGGCTGAGGCAGGAGGATTATAGGAGTTTAAGGCCAGCCTGAGCTACATAGTGAGGTGCTGTCTCCAAACTAAGTAATTAGAGTTCTCCAGATCTTGCTTCTTGTGGCTCAAGGCTGTTGGTGATGACAATTTCTAGCAATCTTTTCTTTTCATCTGGGGGCCTAGTCTTCATCTTTTGCAGTTCCTGCTGGAAGGCTGATCTGGCCCCTTGTAACCTAGCACAAGGACATCACATGGTGAAGATAGGGCTTGCGTCTCTGGGAAGAGGCCAGTTATCAGGGTTTACTGGGGCCAAGCACAGCAGACCGCCTCAAATACTATACTTAATCTTAGCCGAAAGGCAGAAACGTGTTTCAAAACTGCAGCGGAGGCTCTTTCTTTCTCTGGGTGAGCTCGGACCAATTGTTCCCAGGTGGTAACAGCTTGGCATTTTAAAGCAACACTTGCAGCATTGTTTCAAGGGAAAATGATCTGTGTGGCCTTTTGAGTGACATGCACACATTGTTACCACACGAGGGTCACAAGGGAGCCTTGTATTGTATATAGTGAGAGCTCAGTGCCCAGGACAAGATAAATGTAGGAGGTAGGAAAGCTCTCAAGGTCAGCTTCAGTCTGCAGCACAGAGTGGGTAGGGAACTCTCCATGGACCCTTCCGCAGCTCACAGCATCGTGCCACCCAGAAATAAAGCAGGAGAGAAACATTTTGCTTTTGGAGCTAAAGAAAATAAAGAAAAAAGAAAATACAGAACCAGCCCTGAAGAAGTCACCACTGCTGTCTAAAGTAGCAGTAGAAATATAGTACCAGCCACGCACATGAGCCATGAATTTTCTAGTAGCCAGATTACAAATGTAAACATTAAAAATGAAAAAAAATGAAGGAAAATTTGTTTTAGGAATATATGATATTTGACACAACATGCCCAAAATATTATTTCAATATGTTATTGATGAAACAAAAATTACTAGTGTGTGCTAGCTTACTATCTTGGCATTGCTGTGTCTATGGGAATTTGCAGATTGCCACCTTTCCTGTTTAGCAAGGCGCGGGCGGTGCTCCAGGGCTAGGTAGACTTGCAGGTCTGGAGCAAGGGTGGTGATTCAGCAGGGGCAGTCAATTTCTGGAAGACCAGGGTGGGCTCCAGGAAAGGGAATGGTGAGCAGGCTGCTCCTGCTGGGCGAGCTGATTGAGTGGTATCACCTAGATCCTGCTGATTGAGTGGTATCACCTAGAACCTGCTGACAGGTTCCCAGACTGACTCAGAAGCCAGAGCTCCGGTGGTGCTGGTCAGCCTGTCTGGTAAAATCCTGGCCACTTGGGTATGCTGACATTCAGGTTTAATCTCTACACTTTGAGTGCCAGAGGCCTTTCAAGGTCCTAGTGAAGTTTGGGGAGGAAAAGCAGTTTATTTTATTGTATCCATTAGTGTCCTTGTCATGGGACCTAAAGTGCCAGGCCCTTGACTGCTTTCTGGCCTCCCATAATGCACTGGAAGGAGAACAGGTGGGGGCTGGGAGACCCAGACAAGACT